AGTGGATGGACGTTTCCTCAATGCAGAGCTGGAGAGGCTTCAGTGTGAGCGAATTGGTCCAGTGATCGATGTGACCGTGATCTCAGGGAAACTGGAGGAGGCCCATCTGCCTCATTACGCCTGTTTGGCTCCAGTTTAGCAGAGTCTGACCCCTCTCTCAAAGATGATGTGAAGCTGCTCAGTGTTGAAAATGAGGGAATAACCTTGGAATCAGTGGAGTTGACACGTTTTCATGCCAGAATACTTCAACCATATTTTTCTTCTAAAACAGTACTTGTGATTGCAGTGTATAATCTATGCAGATGATGCAGTGTAAATATGTATTAAATTAATTTTTTGATAATTTTACTGTGTGCACATGCTCAGGTGACCTGACGAAGCCGCTGCCGTTGACTGTAGCGGGTGAGCATGCGGATAAGGTGATCCAGTGCAGGTGGCACACACACCACCTCTCCTTCTTGTCCTCCTCCGCTGACCGCACTGTCACACTCTGGACACAGGCCACGCAGAGCCAGCTCTGAGGGAAACAACACGTGCATTTATTAATGTATGACGCTGTGCTTCTGTTTTATTGGTATGATTGTGTATTTATGACAGTTCTGATTCACAGTGTGTGGCTGAGATAAATGCAAACCCTTTTTATAGTAACTGATTGACTGCCAGTGCCATGTGTCTGTGCGTCTCATGATCGTGAGCCATATTGGGATGTGATGCTTTGCTGTAGTGTGCTTGGCTACATATGCACTTCCATTCAGTAACCTTTATCAAACACTGAATCACACCACACAGAATTGGAAAAACACAGACTCAGTGGTGTCATGTGATCTATCCTGTGGCCTTCCTGAGATTTTATAGCATCTCTGTGTGTCCGCTTTGCACAATCACAGTGCGTCTGTAGCCTCTGGAAATAGATGCAGTTTTCTTTATTTAAGTCATTTCTGATGTATCATTCATTGCAAACTGCTGAGTGAAACCTGTAAGAGAGGAACTGGAACATGTTGGAGTGAGATGTACATGCAGTCCAATGCTTGGCTGAAATATGGATATTTTTATGGCCTATATAAATACTGTATCAAAATTCAATGTCAATGTAATGTCAATGTACCAAGTCAATGTGCATGGATCAAAGTATTGAGTTTTTAAATGTCGATTTATGAAGGGAATCTAAACATCAGTCTATGTAATACTGAAAGAAACTTTAGATTAAATGTTTTGGGCATTGGCCGGCTTTTTAAAATTCAATTAACAAGTGAAATTGTTTGAAACTATGATCTTGCACTTTTTGTGTTTTAGAATATTTGTCTCCCATATTCTTGAATTGTTCATGTTGTATATTTTCTAATGATATAGATTTTATTATTTAATTAATTATTTATTATTATTATAATTATATTATTATTTTTATTATTACTTATTATATTTTTGTTATTTATGTTATTAATTTTAAATCAAAGCCAAACTAACATTTTGACACGTTTAAGCAGCCCTCTTGAAGTCATATGAAATATTGTGTTGTTCCTGTGTTCCTTTCTTAAATGATATTTGGACATCAGTGACTACAAAAAAGGCTCATGGGACAAGTTTGTCGTTCCGACAATTGTCAGAATAAATAACCCTATTCTCAAATATGGCTCCATTCATTTGCATTATACTTCAAGGTCCAAAATTAGTTCCCAACGCCAAATGAGATTTTTTAGCTAAATAATTCCTTATTTAGCTAAGCCTGTATGAATGAAATAGTCTATTTTAACGAAAATGTAGTTTTTTTAATGGCTGGAGAGAAATAGTTTTTTGTTGTTGTTGTTTTGTTTATAAACACAGACACCTGAGATACACAACACAGAAACTCCGCCAATGGCGGGAAAGTAAAAAAAAAAAAAAAAAAGTTGTATCCAGACCAAACGCAAGTCATCCATTCTCTTATTTGATTGAATAGCATACTGTTGCCTACTATTTTTTATTATTTATTTATTTATTTATGTATGCAGTAGCCTAATAACAAACACAAATGAAGAGTTCAGATGCAAAAGCCTCTAAATGCCATTTGAAATTTTCTTCTTTAATGATGATTTTTATCAAGCTTGTATATTTAAGTTCAGTAATTTCACTTAAATGGCAATGATAATTACCTATTAATTGTTATTTAAGTGAAATTACTGAACTTAAATATACAAGTTTGATAAAAATCATAATTAAAGAAGAAAATTTCAAATGGCACTTAGAGGCTTTTGCATCTGAACTCTTCAAATCAAGACAGTAACATTACAACAATACAGAGGGTTACATTCCATAAACATAAATAACATTAAACAAGCTTAAATGATTGACACAATTTTAGAGTCGTACATGCAGTAGAGTTTTTAGAGTTCTTCAATGATTTTAAATAGCCTACATATCAATATCTTTCTTAAAAATAAAAAACAGTTTTCTTTGAAAATTTACAAATTGAGAGGGGCCTAATTTCATAGAGTCACCAAAACATATATATATATTTTTTTGGCTTATAGCCTACAGAAGTCTAAAGAAAGATATAACATTTGAAAACTCAACCCAAAAGATTTTGCAATAGGCTACACACATTTCCAAAACAAATGAATAATTGTCTCATCAAACTAATGACAAAATGAGCATAAGGGGGGAATACCATTATTGAATTTAGCCTACTGTAGCCTACTAATATAGGCCTGTAGAGCGATGCATTACGAAGACATTACGTCTTATAGCTACGCCCAGTCCATGTTATTTACATTGAATAGGCTACTTTCGTTTTTCACGTCCGGTGCTTGCTGCAGCTGTTTCTTTACGTCAAACTAGTTCAGTTGAAAGTATAGCCTATTGTATTTTACCAACGCGTATACGGCAGATTAAAAACTTTTTTTTTTAAATTTGTTTCTTTGTTTTTAATTCAAGAGTTATAGCCTAACTTTAGGCAGACGCGGCGGATCATAGCTCACCATTTCGTGGATCAACGTTATTCAAACACGATGAGCAGCTTTGGTAAGTGAGAGAAACGGCGCGATCTAGTTGGCAAACTCAAATATTTGAAACAAATCTAATCTCTATTTTGTACAAGTAAACAATTAACCTGTTTATTGTCTTTCTTGATATATATATATATATATATATTCGAAGACTTTCGAAAATGTTTAATTATATTTGTTTCTATATCCTAATTCAATTGTTTTATGTCCAGAGGCCCAGTTTGTGAATAGGAACCGTGCAGCCAGTGGCGGCTCCAGACAATTTTGATTGGGGGGGCAATGGGGGGTCCTGGTCATTTCAAGGGGGGGTCTCATGAAAACCAACAAAAAATACATTTGACACGGCTAATAACTGCATATTACTGCTACTTAACAACAAAAACAACACAGCATATCAACTATAACTTTGTTTTTAATTAATTTCAGTTTGCAAACAATATGCTCGAACTTTAATTGCCATAGCCACACCACACCCATTACAGAAAACATATTTACAAAATGTGATGATTGGTTGTAATTTCAGAGGGAGTCAGTAGTGGTGGCTGGGGGTTGATAAATACGAACATGGATGAATAAAGCAACAGAGAAAATTTTCATTAAAAAGATGCAGTTTATTTTAAGCACAACAATGAACAAAACACAAAATAGTATCTATTCTCATACTCTCACCACCTTTTGATTGCCCTACTTCTGTCCAATTGGACCCTGGCATCTTCTCTGCTCATCTATAGTCCAGTCTCCTCCTGGCATTTTCTCTGCTCTCTTCAGTCTCCACATGTGTTATTTACTGCAACACATGAATAGGTTAGTATTTATGATTAAAAACAGCAATACAGTATGAAGAGATTCACCTCAATTACTTCACTAACCAATATTGACAGCTCTTTTGTCCAGTCTCCTCATGTCCTCTTCTCTGCTGCTCTTAAAGGGTTAGTTATTCGGTATTTTACACTTAAAGCCCTGTTTTAAGATAGTTTCTGATGAAATAGAACGGTTAAGATTGAAATTTGGTCAAATTAGCTACTGCTGTCCCGAGAACTTGTGTTAGCACTGGAACAATCATTCATAAAACGCATACAACTTTCGTTTACAAAGGCGTGAAACTCACCGAGTGGTCTGGGGTGTTCACTAAAATGCTCACGCAAAAATCGCTGCAAAACATGCTTTCCAAAGTTTCCAAAAGGTTTTGTCATAGTTTTTGTACAACTACATTGACTTGACTTGGACAAAACTACGATAAAACCATGGAAAGCATCTTTTACAGCGATTTTATTATGATTTTGTATTCTATTTTATCAGCAACGATCTAAAAAACAAGATCTAAATACCAAAATAAACTATCTAAATACCGAACTAAGCCTTTTAAGTCTCCACTCTCCTCCTGTGTCTTCTTCTCTCCTCCCGTCTCCATCAAGCAGGCCTCGCCCTCCACGGCAACGGGTATATTTTCACTCCTATTGCTATAATTTCCGTCAGCTCTCATTTTTTTAGGTATGATATAAAGCGATCCATTTTAGCTTCGTTGTAGCTCGCGCGGGCTCGCGGTAGCGCCTTGAACACAATGACGCAAGGTGTAGCAGCGACGTTCATGGGGCGTGGCATTGATTCTTGTGTTTATATTTTTTATATGTCGAATAAATTATTTATGATTATTGTTCTGCCTAGTTTGAAGAGAAACATTTTTAAATCTTTATCCTGCATAAATATATTTTTTAATCAGGAAGTGGGTGGGGGGTCGAATGGGGGGTCACAGCGTTTTTTGGGAGGGTCTTAAGACCCCCCAAGACCCCCCCTGGCGCCGCCACTGCGTGCAGCTCTTATTCAAAGGGTTACTTCAGTGATGCCAATAGTTGATGAGCTAAATAGTAAAGGCATGATCCATGCTGAAACATATGCAGAGATCAGAGCAGAAAGAACCAACCAGGAAAAAATGAGAAAGCTCTTTGAAGCACTGGAAGCCGGAGGAGACAGAGTGAAATATGAATTTTATCATGCACTTAAAATCCATGAACAATTCCTGTTCAGAGACCTGGGTACGAGAATCTACAGTTGGTATTATGAGATTATAAACTCAAACCTCTATATGACCTGTCCTGTCCTGTGGTTGATGATAACAGGTGGTGGCACTGAAAACACAGCTGGAGACAACAGAGAGCAGAACCTGTCGGAGAGAATGCAGCTACAGTGAACTGAACAGTGAGTGTCAAATGCATGTTATGTACTGTATATTAATATACATGTCAAACACTAATGATCTATATAATAACCACAAATTACGATACAAATAATAATCACCTGTGAATATTCTCACTGGAGAACAAAGCACACTTGAATTTTTATTTTTTACAGATTGCTGATATTCTGTCCTTGGTGCTCAACAGACAGTACTGTGCAAGACTTTACAGACCTAATGTGAAAAAGAGAGAAGATGCAACTACATGAACATGGAAGAAACTTTGAAATGAAAGGAACAGTTCAACTTTGTCATGTAAAAATAAGACATTTGGAACATTTGACCTATGTGTTGCATATGTATATTTTTTAGCTGAACATCTTAAACCCATAAACATTTTTATACTGCTCTTTTAATAATATAAAGATAACGTTTTATACATCGCCATCTATAGTTATTCGACATAAATATATTCAAATGAAAGCCTTTATATTAATAAAATGGTTTTTAAAAAGAAATAAGGAATGATTTTACAGTGTTTGCAAAAATCCTCTATTGATCTACATCAGTGATGATGTCACAATTTAGTGTCATAAACTTGCCTTCATGTCGTGCTGCCTTTATATATTTGATTGCCATAATTCATCACATCAAAAAACACATCGAAATAATTATTGTGCATCTGTTTTTTTACATTCCAGTTGGAAGGATTCTCTTCTCCTTGATAAATTGATAACTTTGTGAATTGGTTTACATTGTTCTTTTTTCATTCCTTAATTTTGTAAATGGAATTATTTTCACCTGACTAATAAATGACTAGATTTGATTATTCTGGACTCTGATTTATCTCTAGAAGATTGAAATTTGTCTGTGTGACAGCAGAGGCCCATGATCTGAAATAATCAGATTTCGGTCTTTCTCCTCACTTGCATGAATGTGCAATATAGATGAGGCATAGACGGAAGTCTGAATTTCTCTTGAAAATCTCTCTTCCTTGTCCACCATCAGCATCAAGCAGCTCTGACTGGAAAATACATAATTTTTACATCACCCTTTACTACCCTTTACTATTAATTTATTTCATTTTAAAACTTCTGTTGAGTGGAAAATAATGACTTTATGTACTTTTTAGGCAATAGTTAAATGCTCAGCTTAGTGTTTTGGTCATATAGGTTTGTAGTGATGTGTTTATAGTTGTATTATTAGTGTGTTTCTTGCAGATCTCCAGAGTGTAATGAGCATACGACTGGTCTGTTTTCTTTCCTGCACCTTGTGTGTGGTTTGAAGAGTGTGGATTTGATGATATTCAGTCTGAATCAGAGCTGAGCTCGCAGGATTCTCTCTCTCACGTCAAACAAATCAGTCAATGTTGGATCACTCAGATTTGAGTACTTGGCTTGCCATAAAATGACTTTGATAATGTTATGGCAGGGCTATAGGCTGTGACATGATAGTTGCCACACAAAAGGATTTTTATTTCATATCTAACCTCCCTCATTACTGACATGTTAAGGTTTCGCAGTGCTTTATGTGCTGTGCTTATATACTTGCCGGGAATGTTTCCACTCTAAACAATGCTGGGTTGTTTTAACCCAAATTTGTGTAGAATATGGACCAACCCAAATGTTGGGTTAAAAAATGTACTGTAATTTAAAATTTGAACCCAACTTCATCTTCACTTTCAACTGTATATTTTTTAATTGCATTTTAACCCAACATTTGGGTTCGTCCAAATTTGACCCAAATTTGGGTTGAAACAACCCAGCATTTTTAGAGTGCATACTTACAAGCAGCTCTAATAAAGTGCTACAGCTACAATTCTGTTGCATCACAAGAAAGTCTCTTTTGCACTGAATCTTGTCTCTGATTCATTCTTTCTAGGTTTTGATCTTAAAACAAGCTTTGATTATCAATATGGTAAATCTCTGAATAAAAATTTAACTGTGACTAACATTTTACTCTTAAGTAGTACAATGCTTTTTTGTAAAATATAATATAATGCATATATATGTCAAAAGGAAAACAATATTACTGTCCTCCAATATTTTGCACGTCAAGCTCGGAGTACTGGCACATTTTTTTTTTCCATTTAAATTTAGCTTTGTACTTTTTTATTAAAATAAACTAAAGCTTGAATAACTTATATTATAATTATATGAATAATTATATTTTTCACTTATATTACTGTTTGCTTCTTAGGCATGTGCAGTTTTAAACAGTGTTTCCATATATATATATATATATATATATATATATAGACGTTTTCTTTACATGTGAAATAAAGAAAACAATTACAAACTGAAACAGGAAGTGTTTCTGGACCAGTGTTGTTTACATCTTGCAAAATGGTCTATACTAATAAATAAATAAATAATATTTTAGACTTGTAACATCTTTGTTATTTTAAATATAAAAATGTTTGCCAGCTAACTTGAAAAATACTTCATTTAAAAATCCGGGATTAATCTCTATCCATATTTTGCATTACACTGGTAACCTACCATCTACCAACAAGTTTGACCTGCATCATTTCACTCTGCACTTGTGGGTTTGAAATTAACCCTTTAAGTACACAAGAACTGAAAATACAAACAGGCAAAAGTGCAATAAGTTATAGGTAAATATTGTCTACACTGTAAAGTTTGTGCCATAAAAAATATATATATACTTAAAGGGTTAATTTCAAACCCACAAGTGCAGAGTGAAATGATGCAGGTCAAACTTGTTGGTAGATGGTAGGTTACCAGTGTAATGCAAAATATGGATAGAGATTAATCCCGGATTTTTAAATGAAGTATTTTTCAAGTTAGCTGGCAAACATTTTTATATTTAAAATAACAAAGATGTTACAAGTCTAAAATATTATTTATTTATTTATTAGTATAGACCATTTTGCAAGATGTAAACAACACTGGTCCAGAAACACTTCCTGTTTCAGTTTGTAATTGTTTTCTTTATTTCACATGTAAAGAAAACGTCTTAAAGATGTTCTGTTGGTTGTATTTTATCCCAGCTTTTATGTAGTGTTAAAAAACTGAAACAGGAAGTGCCTCTGGACAAGTGTTGTTTACATCTAAATTGTGGTGTTGCTTCTCTTTCTATTCTCTAATTTGTCCAAAGCTATGTACTTTTTTCATCAAGGTAGACACAAAAATAAATATATTCTTCTTTTAGATTTTTATGGAGGATGATCATATGAAGAATGATGTCAGATAACTGTAGCCTTTAAGTGTTTATTTCAATTGCCCTCTACTGCTGAAAAGCAAATTTGTGTGTAGTTTGTTTATGGTTTCCATTAGGCAAAACAGCCTTGTGGTTTAACATAAATGGCTGGACAGGTCAAATGTACCATGTCAAAATAACCTAACACCAAAGCAGAAAAGAAACAATGTGCTTTTCCCTGTGTGTATGATTTAGATTTACAAAGCTCATTTTGCAAAGTCATATTGTTTGTTTGTTTCTCTGTTGTATATAATTAGAAATAGCTTTGCACAATGTTTTAACAGTAAACGTTAACAGTAAAACTTTCTTGGTTACCTTTTTTTGTTCATAACTTTTGATTACACATTGGATACAGACTATGTAGATATATATATGCATATTAATAATATGCATCCAGTTCCCATAAGTTACTTAACTTTAGAGAAGTGTTGGTCACGTAAGATATAGCTGCAATTAACCTATCTTCCAATAAACAAACTAAAACTGGCTACATAATATATAGCTAACTACTGACTAGATGCACAAAAGGTCGGCTAATGTGTGTAAAAGTAAAACAATAAAGTGATTTCATTAATTTACCAGCGAGCGTACTTCGAAAACACTGAAAATGAATGTGGTTCACTGCTGGAACTATCAGTGTTTGGAACTATTGGCCGCTCGCTTTCTTTTACTGTCTATGGCTGCTCCACGACACGCGTTATTTCCGCATTCCAAATTTCCTATGGCAGTCTATGGGTGTGTCGCAAGTCTTTGAACATTCCTTTTTTGCACACTTCTCTCAAATACAGAACCAGGAAGCTATTTCAATTTCTCAGCAGAGAGAGAAACCGAAACCTGTGTTTTACACTATATGTGTATCTCTGTTTTTGAGGCAGATATGTCTTGAGATCCAGTCTGATACAATGGCTGGTAATATCCAGTAACCACTTCCAGAGGACACACTTTTTATGTGGAGTGTCTTACCAGGAGCTTCACTTTCTGTAAAAATGCTGTTGGATGGATTGGTCTATTGTTGCAATGAAATTTGGCTGGACATGTGTATGATTTAGGCTGTTCTGCTGGTTGTATTTGTGTTTGCAGGAAAATGGCAGAAGCCAGTATTTCTGGTGCTGAGGATCAGGTCATCTGTCCAATCTGTCTGGACCTACTGAAGGAACCAGAGACCATTCCCTGTGGACACAGTTACTGTATGAGCTGTATTACAGACTACTGGAATAAAGAAGATCAGAAGAGAATCTACAGCTGCCCTCAGTGCAGACAGACCTTCAGTACAAGACCTGTTTTATGGGAAAACACCATGGCTAAAGCGCTGGAGATATTGGAAAAGACAAAAGTTGCTCATTCTGTTCAGAGTCATGCTGCGTCTAATAATGTGAAGTGTGACATCTGTAATGAGGAAAAGTCCGATCTCGTGTGTAGGAACCCTCGCTGTCAAGATGACCAAGATACCATAAATCAACTGTGTAAGGCAATTAGTGAGTTGGCTGATCAAATTGAAATGACGGTAAGTTTAGAAAAGAGCTGAAAGAACATTTGCAAGCAACTCTAGTCAGTCAGTGAGGAATCCAGTGCTGGGCCACTTTAGTTGCTTTGAACGCCACTTGTAACAGGTTGTCTACTGGAAAGATCTGACAGAAATGACAAATTAAAAGATTAAATGGAAGACAATGCCAGGCCTCATTCTGTACGAGCTTAGACACTACACACTAGAGTGGATGTGCTTGACTGGCCAGATTTGTCTCTTATTGAAAGTATGTCAACATTTATTTCAGAAAAATGTGTATTCTAAGCAGTTGTCTTTGTGATTTTTTTCTTCATGTAGCATATTCATGATAGCATCTTAATGATGCATCTTCATGATGCTTCACAGAGCATCAATATCCATCATCCCTTTTCTTTCTTAACAAAATATGTCTCTCAGCTGGAAGACAAAATAAATAGATGGCATAAGGAAACATATGGAAGAGGTAAAGTTGTTTATTTATGTTCAGAATTTTTAGGGGCCAAGCACCGAAGGTGCGGGCACCTATTGTATCTGTTCCGGTTCTTATTATTATTCCTACTTTTTCTTCTTCTTCTTCCGACTGGGCGTCTATGGCACCCCATAGAACCGTTTCCGGGAAAATTGTTCCGTTTTACTTTTATTATGCGAATAACTTTTGAACCGTAGGGCCTATCAACAAAATTTTTTCCTCTTGTTCGTGACCTCATGCCTATTTGATCGCACCCTATGACATCATTTTCCGTCATGAAAAAATTGCCGCCATTTTGAATTGTCCAAAAAACCTACTTTTGCGAACTTGTCCATAGACGGTTTCTCCGATTTTCACCAAAATTGCACCGGATCATCTCCAGGCAGTGCTGACAAAAAGTTATGGAATTCAAGATGATTCGAAATAACCGTTTTTGATAAACCCACAAACTAAATTTACGTAGCGCTTGCGAAAACAGACGTAAGGCTGTATCTCCGCAACGCTTACTCGTTTTCAGACCAAACTTGGTACGTGTCATCACAGCGATGCATGACTGAGGCTACATGCTGTGTTTCGGCGCAGCGCCACCTACTGGTCCGGAGATATGAAAAATGCCTATTTTTATTTTTTCTCATAACTTCTGAATGGTTTCTCCAAAAATCGTAAACTAGCTGAGTCGACCGATATCTAATTTTCCCAGATCGGCCATCTTGGCTGTCGGCCATTTTGAATTATGTGCTAAAATGCGGTATTTTTTGAACGCATGAACGAATTTTTACGAAACTCGGTATGGGTCATCAGTACGATGCCCTGAAGAAGCCTGAGAAGTTTAGAAACAGCGCCACCTAGTGGTGAATTATTTTTTCCCAAACACTTATAACTTTGGGTGTGGTACACTTATTTTCACACGAGTCATATTTTTGAGGTCCTGAATCGTTGCCGAGTCCAACGATACCAAACATGCTGGGTTTCATCTTACGGTTGGTATAGCGTAGCGATTTAGTTTATTCCGATCGAGACGAAACCACCGTCAGAAAATTGGAAACATAGGTCGATAGTCATACCTCAATGCCCAAATGTAAAAATATTTATAGTAAGGGGTAGTAAAATTCAAACAAAGTTGTGTCAGTCATTTTTTACGTGTTTTTTTCATATAAATGTCTATAACTCTGAAGAGAATTGAGATATTTTCACCAAAATTGACACACATGTATGCGCTCAGTATTTGTAATTTAAGCCATTTTGCCTAAATTCATTTTTAAATGTCTTCAATAGGCTATGTGCACAACCGTAGTTTCGCGGCTGTACAACAAACACATACTTATAATATTTTTATTTAAAGTCCAGAAGTTATGCTGCAACTTATTTTTAAAAACAAAAAGTTGTGTCGGCATTGCGATTCTTAGTATGCACGTTTAAACACAATTTAAACAATGTAAGTTAGGGCTATTACTCCATGCATTACAAGTTGCTCAAGCAAGTGGTCAAATATTTACAATATTAAAATCGCAAATAATTTAAATTAAAACTTGAAATTGACAAAAGCAGCCGACTTGCCTTTTCTTTTGCATTTTAATTTTAAAACAATAGATCTTGCATGTCACAAATAACTTATTTTTCCACCTCCACGATTGAGACGAGTGTTCATTCTGTCACCTGGTTGAAGTAAATTGTAGTTTTCCTTGATTAAATCTGCATTTATGGTGAGATTACTACATTTTATTTAATTAAATGCATTTATGGTGAAATTACTACATTTTCAGGTCAATCTTTATCATTTTGACCACCAGCGTTTGCAGCACAGCAGAAATAGATTCGGCGTGGAAACGATCGCTGTGCTGCTGTTATATGTACCACACCAGTGAAAAGTGAAAGCCCTAACCTGTTTACATGGTGCGTAGGAGACTGCTGTGTGGCACTTTGCTCTGCTTCAAGTCGCTAACAGCCATTTGAGCTTCTACTGAGCTTCCTTTTGGTCAAAGTTATAACAAAATTTCTTATAATGCTAATAACTTTTGAATAAATCTGCGTATTTTAATGCGACTGGTCTGAAGGTTTTTTCATAGTCACCAAACTCTGACCACATCACATCGATTTTGTAACTACGCCACCTATAGGTCGAAAGTGATAATCCATTTAATCACATTTTTAGTTAATTGTATGTGATTTTTCAGCCATTTTGCCTAAATTCATCTTTAAATGTCTTCAATTACTCCTTGCTGCAGTTGGTCTGACACATGTTGGCACGTTTTGTCGTCTGATTGTGTTTGGCCCCGGTCATTGCTGCTTGCAGCTATATTTTTCTCTTTGTTTATTAGGTTTAATGCAGTCTCTAGAGTCCCTAATTTAGGGTTACCAGTTACAATTTTGAAATAGTCACCAAATTGGTACAAACCTAACAAAAAGAAGATGTTTCCTACAAAAGACTGAAAAGCATAAAGTGATATATTTTGCATCTTTTTATTCTGGTTTTCTCCATGCTTATAAAGGACAGGCATTTGCAGTAAACATATGGACAAGTTTACAGAACTGGACTGGAGACACCGCTGGAAGTAGAATATCTACAGTAATTTCAAATGTTTTGAAAGACCCAAAAGAGTGAGATCAAATTTATTTTATAAAAAAAAAACGTGTTTATCTTTCATACATAGGTAATTTCATTTATGGTTATCATCTCTGTTCTCTAGGCCGAACGTCTCTGCGCCTGAACCTTCTGAAATGAATCTTCACTGTCAGTCTTGTGTTCACATTGTCGACTGTGATCAGTGGGTTCAAGTGGAGCCGTCAGTCTGTACAGATGAAGGAGGGTCAAAGTTCAGCATCAGCACTCCGGCGGGCCGATTCGAGTGCAGCAGGACCAGAATCCGATGGGTCTGTGGGGGTGACGTCAGTCTCCAGTATCGTCCAGTGGATGGACGTTTCCTCAGTGCAGAGCTGGAGAGGCTTCAGTGTGAGCGAATTGGTCCAGTGATCGATGTGACCGTTATCTCAGGGAAACTGGAGGAGGCCCATCTGCCTCATTACGCCTGTTTAGCAGAGTCTGACCCCTCTCTCAAAGATGATGTGAAGCTGCTCAGTGTTGAAAATGAGGGAATAACCTTGGAATCAGTGGAGTTGACTCGTTTTCATGCCAGAATACTCCAACCATATTTTTCTCCTAAAACAGTACTTGTGAAACTAGGGATATCAGTGAAAATGCACTGTGATCTACTTATCTTCATTGCAAAACAGAACCCCATTATTCTCCATGTGTATTTTTTCCCATCAGATTCTGTTGTCGCAAAAAAAATTAAAAAGGAGGAAAAGCCAAATCATCAAATCAAGTGTTCAAGACCTGAAACCCCACTGCAGATGATGAAAAAACACAGTCTTGAGGTTCCTGGTGCTTCTGTCCAACCGAAAGAGATCAAGCTAAGAGGTGACATCGAGCCAAACTTCTTTCAGGTTAAACAAACTGTTGCAGATGACATCAAAATGACTCTCAGCCGAGTGGATGATCAGAAAACAATATGGGCTGCAACAATTTGGAAAGAATTAACCAACATCGATCCAAACAAAGCTGTAAATATACAACAACATAATACACCACCAGTGGCTGTCAACTTTGATAAAGCTCAATATTTTGATAGAAATTGGAGTGGTCTTATCAAAAGCGTTACGAATGTGAACGCCATTGCAGACAAACTTCTTCAGAAGCAAATCATTCATGAGGAAATATATTCTGAAATCACACACCCGACTTCAACCGCAGAAGAAAGCATGAGAAAGATCTGCAGCATTGTGCGGAAAGGTGGTGTTGCTGTGAAGGAAAGTTTCATCTCAGTTCTTCTGGAAGAAAATCCCAAACTTTTAAATCATCTGCCTTTATCAGACTCTTAAACTTTTTCTAGATGACTGTACATTATTTTACATGAGTTGTGAAATGACATGAAAACGGCAGGTGATGAACTGGAGAAATGACACTACAACAGTGTATTTGACTATTTTAGTCAAAACATGTTCATTGTTTGAATTAAAGAAAAGGCAAATGATCTGCTTGTCTGTACAAATTAGATAAAAAACAAATCACTAAGACTGATAAGAACAGTGAATAAGGTGAATGATTGAAAAAACAAATTCTGTACAGGTTTTATTTCTATATAGTTGTGTAGTAAATTAATCTTACCAAATCATACTTTGACATTTTAGGTACATTTTTTGTTTAACCACTTCTTTAAAAAAAATCTAAATGTAACTACAAAAATAATGCATTAATATTTGTGTCATAATTACACATCTCATACTAACTGGAAGGTCACTATAGTAAAAACAATGTTAATTCAATAAATACAAACAAACCTGCAGTCTTGTATCAAAAGATACATTTGTGTGATTCACTCTGGTGATCATAATCAAAGCAATACATCCTAAACTAAAACAAATGAAAATGTACAAAGCTTAAATCCAGTAAAAAAATTAAAAAGTGTTATTTACAACAAAAGTACTTTTTTGCTCAGTATAGCTGTACAAGAAATGCCATTCATAATCATTTAGCAGATAGGACACAGTTCAGACTGATGCATGTTACCTGACCATCATTGTGTTTGACCAGCGTGTGGTTTGTAGCTCTCATGTGCATGAAAATGAGCTCATTTCTGCATAAGAAGTTCAGAAGAGGGACTGCATGTTTGATCAGCGGCAGGAGGGCAGCGTGACTCTCTGCTCGTCCATCCTCTTGGCCTGTGAGCGCATGATGAGGCTGAAGAAGTCTTCATCTGGGACGGTGGGGCCACGGGCGGAGGGCAGAGGAGCGGCACACCGCTGATCATCCAGACGGGACCCCTGAGGGAGACAGAATGAGATGAATCGATTATTTAACCAATGGACTTCAGCCATTTTTCCCCATTTATTTTCCTACAAGACGCCCATCTCTGGTTAACACAAACACATCGTCTCACCTGACACTTGACGAGCATGTCAAAGAACTGGTCGTCGGGTTCGGTGGCGTCTGTGCTGGCCATGACCTGGCTGAGGATCATCCGTCTGCTGCTAGTGCTGCTGTGTTCGGATAGGGTGTGCAGGCCGGGCAAACTGTTTCCTGTTCCTGCCCTCTGCTCGTCCAGCCTCCTGCCCTGAGCACTCGCCAACAGTCTGAGAAACGGCTCCTGACCTGGAGTTGCAGCCGACTCTGAGACTGCTAGAGAGAGACAGAGAAAATGACATTTTTATTGCCACTTGATTGTCAAATTAAAGAAAGTAATGTGAAAAGAGAGTGCCTAACATTTCCTGATGGTTGCGGGAGGGGTGGTGGGTGGGGAGGAGCTAGAATTGACAGACAGATGGCTCCTCCCATCCTGTACGGCACACCGCTGGTCATCCATCCTGTTGCTCTGGAAACGACTCAGTAAGTCAAAGAAACCCTCATCTCCTAACATGTCTGTACTTCCAGTCTGTGGGCAGAAAGGTCAAAGGTTAAAGAAAAAAAAAAAACAACAACAACCTCTCAGTCCTCTTTGAAGAACTGAGAACACATGAAGTGCAATTAACTGTTCTCAAGAACAAACGGTTACCTCATTTTAACAATTTAACACAAAGAAATATTATTAGAGCAAGTTACTCTCCACATGATGCATTTCTTTCTTTATACTGTACATATAAAAAAGTTACAAAACTCTGTTTAAAGAGTAACTAAACCCTAAACCAACTTTTTTTAGTTAATGATCTGTAAGAATGGATCTTTATTAATACCAGTCATTGATTCGTGTAACTTTTTTGACATTTGTGTATAAAGTGTTCTGTTTCTACAAAATATGGTGTAAAAACGTCTTAGTGCTGCCCTCTTCAGGTTGAACAGTGGCTACTGCAGTTGAATTTTCCTATTGGATGTTCCGCACTTCGGTTTCAGCTCACCACGCTCTTGGTACGAGCGCCAGTATAAAAACCAGCTAGTTTCGTCAAAACCACTGTAGCGAGTCAGGAGTTGGAATTGCGAGTATTGAAAACGATCAGGATAGAGTGTTTTAGCGTCTATTTTGTCCCCTCTATCTCCGCTGGGGTCTGCCCACTTTTTCAGCATTTGCCAGTGGGGGGAGTCAGGCTCTGACCAGGGGTTTAGTTACCCTTTAATTAAAATAAATCTGAAATAAAATATAAATATTAGACTAACACTTGAATGAAACTTGAATACACTTGACTTACACTTTAATATAAATGTTGTATTGGCAACTAACTGAAATAAAACAAAAACTAATAAAAAAATGAAACAAAAACAAAAAGTTAAATATATATTTATATACAATAATAGTAAATAAATAGTACTAAAATAACACTACTACCAAACAATGCAATAGATCTGACCAGCAAAAAATGTCTGTAGTTGATTGTGTTGTGAAAAATGGGCGTTACAAACCAGAAGGAGACCTTAACTTGAATGTGAGATTGTGGTTTACTGTGGTCTATTTTGGTTATTAGTTAACGTGGTTATGTAGTCTGTGATGGTAATGTCAATTACGAAATTAAAGTAATTTTGGTAATACTTTACAGTAAGATCTCATTTTAGTTAATGCATTTAAGGGATAGTTCACCCAAATATGAAAATGCTGTCATGATTTACTCACTCTCGTGTTGTTCCAAACCTGTATGAGCACAAAGATGATATTTTCAATAATGTTGGTAACTAGACAGATGATGGTAGCCATTGACTTCAATAGTATTTTTCTTTCCTTCAATGGCCACAGTCAACTGTCTGGTTACCGATATCATTCAAAACATCTTTTGTATTCTACAGAATAAAGAAACTCACACAGGTTTGGACGAATTAAGCGTGAATAAATTATGACAAAAGTTTCATTTTTAGGTGAACTATGCCTTTAACTAACATGAACAAACTGTTTTTACAGCATTAGTTAACTTTTGTTAATGTTCAGTGCATTAACCGTTAACAGATGGAATGTAAAAAATGTATCAGTTAATTCTGAGATTAACATTTACAATGATTAATAAATGCAGTACAAGTATCGTTACCATAATTTGAGTATTCTATTTGTTTTAGTAAATGTGCTGAAAGTACTTTGTTCTGTGGAGCTTCCCGTGTGTTGCTGGTATCCTGCAGGATTTTACTGGAGCTGCTCTGCAGCTTGTGCTTTTTTCCTCGGAAACGATTAACAAAAGAGAGCTTTGAGGACGACTTGGCCATTGTGGATTTGGACTGCTTGAAGAGGATGTCACTTGTCCACTTCTGACCCTGAAGGACAGAGATTCAATTACTCTATGAATCCTGATACTGAGATCAGAATACATGGATTTATGCTTGATGATGACTATACAGTACATATTGATTATGAATCAAATAAATACACTACTGACTGAATTAAGGGTACAGCGCAAGAAGGATTTTAACAATCAGCTGCACTCACATTCATGTTGATCTTGTCAGGTGTGAGTTTCAGCAGCTCTAGGTTCTCCATACTGTGCCGTCGGCTCATCCTGGGTCTGGCTCCTGGAAAAAACAACAACAATACTGACTCAAGACAATGGCCAAAAACTTCTTCATTACAACTTCATTATACAGAAGAGGCTGAGATGCTACTTCTGAAGGAAGTGCTGTACCGTGCAGGTTGTAGTCGATCTCTTTGTTCTCCGACAGGACTGAATTGTTTGTGCTGTAACTGAGGCCAAGGACCATCTGAAGATCAGAGACGTTCATGCGAGCAGTGAGCTCACCGCTACGATCTCCAGTCTGTATAAAAGACAATAAGGACATTTCTATAAAAAACAATCCATTTAACTATTGTTGTGTTTGCTTGCATTTAAAATGGCTAAAATCCTAATGTCTAGTCTATAGCTGTACGTACCTCTTTTGAGATAACTAAGTGCTTCTCTGCAAAGTGCATGGCCTGGTCATTATTCCCTAGTGCTGTATGTGCGTTTCCCAAACTCCAGCAGGCCCTTCCTTCACCGATCCTGCAAAAAAAAAAAAAAAACACATTCCCCATGATGTATGCAAATAATTATGCACAAATTTTGTGTGCAATTATGAATTCTTAGGTGGTCTTCTACTAATAATGCATGAAAGCACCTGTCGTTGAGGTCCTGAGCGATAATGAGATGTTTGAGATGGTAGTCGATAGCTCTCTCATAGTCCTGCAGCAGTGTGTATGTGTTACCCAGACTGTAGCAGGCCTGAGCCTCCACCGCCAGATCCTTCAGCTGCCGAGCCAACTGCAGAGCCTTCCTGCACTCACAACACTATCACTGTCAGAGCTCAGCCACAACCACAGCACAGGGTTTTTAAAATCAAATGTAAGACTTTAAGACCTGCACAAATAAAATAATATCGTATGATCAAACAAAAACCCTATACAATCTCAAAATAATTCACATGTCTTAAACTTAAATAAACAGGTTGGGGCACACATTCAGCAACAAAACCGTGCAACCACAAGTTTAAAATACTCAAGACATGTTTTATTTCAATACAGCATATGCATATGTATTGAACTTGGTATATCAATTGGTATATCATATAACATGTATTGGTATCTCAATATCTATGAATGCGAGGTGGAATATTGGATTTTGCTAATATGATAAAGTGTTCAAAAAAAAAAAAAATCAATACAAAGATTATTGTTCTGACGCTAATACAATCTACGCATCCACCTTATTCTGCGCCCGTTCTATTTCCCATGATTTCAACTGACTAAACGGTTTTCCACTTCCTGTTGAAGTATTGTTTACATAGAATGCTAGCACTCTAGTCCAGACCACTCATCTATATACAATGATATATTATATAGATCAGTGGTCCAAACATTAGAAAAATATCAGTTGACACATGCGTTTTATATTCACGGACATGACAGTTATAAAAGCGACTTTAAAACTTTCACTGAGATTTTAAAGAGAAACCACAAAGAAACCTTTCTTTAAAGGTTTTCGTTTTTTATTATTTGAATCTTAATTTAAATCAATGTTTCATCAACCAATTCACTGGTTTTAATAAATAAGAGGTATATTAACAATAGATGATCACGACGGAGGCGACAGCGCGCAAACTGGACTTTGGTCTGAAACTCGGCGTAACGTTATGCCTAACCTCACAGGCCTGAGAAATATA